AGCAGATGGCAACCACAGCTTTTATTGTTTAGAGTTATACTCAGGAAGATTTCGCTGCCTATCTCCTGTATCCCTTGTCGTTTCTTAAGTTATCCATCACATTACAACATCATTTGTTTATTTTGTATTTATAAATCATATTTTTATTGCTTGTGGTTTAAGTCCGTGACCCATTGAAACAGAAACAGAAACTTTTTTATTCAATGTAGATTATAACAATACTTATTGAAAGTCACTTTTTTCATTTACTACTGGTTCGCAAAAAAAAACCTCTGTCCTGGGAAGAACCAGCAAGAAACCCAGCGGGACTATTTTTTTTTTCCAATAATAGCTTACAATAATGTTTACAATAAACAAAACAAGACAAATTAGAAATAGCTTGGTAGGGATTACCCTTCCCAGGGGTTATCGTCATCCATAAATTCCTTAATATTATAATAACCCTTTTTATACAAACTTAGTTTAATAACATTTTTGAACTTTGTGTATGACAAATTTTGTATATTTTCTGGGATTTTGTTGTCAAAGCGTTTACATCGCCCCAAGAATGAATTACTGACTCGGTGGAGTCGAGTAACTGGTACTACTAGCTTGTTACTTACTTACGTACTTATTTTCGCAAAACTACTTTTATTTTTGTGTACGTACATTACATTTTCATAAATGTATTGAGAGGCCATAGTTAATATATTAATTTCCTTAAATTTTTGTCTCAGTGACTCTTCTGGTTTTACATTATATATTGCTCTAATGGACCTCTTCCGCAAAATAAATATAATTTCAGTGTCAGTCGCGTGTCCGCATAGCAAAACACCATACGACATAATGCTATGGAAATAACTAAAGTAAACTATTCTAGCTGTTTCAACACTGGTAAGAGTTCTAATTTTTTTCACAGCATATGCTGCAGAACTAAGTCTGCTAGCTAGTTTTGATATATGGGGGAGCCATTGAAGCTTTGCGTCCAGTGTGATTCCAAGAAAAATGGTGGTATCAACAAGACTCAGTTCCTCCACATTTAAAATTACATTAGTATTGACATGTTTAACATTAGGAGTGACGAATTTCGTACATTTAGTTTTAGTTCCATTCAAATGCAAATTATCGACATTAAACCAATTGAATAACTCAGCTATAGCATTATTTACTTCGTCGTAATTTAATAACTGTCGTTTTAATTTGAAAATTAATGAAGTATCATCAGCAAATAATACTATATCATGGTTATTCACTACTATGTAAGGTAAGTCATTAATATATACAAGAAACAGAAAGGGGCCGAGAATTGAGCACTGAGGCACGCCCATTTGTACAATCGACCCGGAAGATCTCATACTATTGATGACAACTTTTTGCGTTCTGTCACTAAAATATGAAATAATTAATTTAAGAGCATCGCTTCTTACACCATTAATTTAGAATTTCCCGAAAATAGTAAAATACACACATACACAGTCAGCTATGTTTTAAATCTTTAAATACGTACTCCAACGTTTAACTAATCTGCCTTTTAACGTGAACACACTTTTTCCTTATTTTCGGGCACGATTCTGTTTATCTCTAGTAAAGCTTTATGGAAAGTTAATTAAATATGGAACAGAAGTAGCAGAGTAATTAGCGCCGACTCAGATCTCGGGTTTTTAACAAAAATATTATTGTTAATTTTCTGTGACGTTTCAAGCATTGCTATAACGAAAATAATCTGTGGTATAATTTTTGAGCAGTAACAGGTTTAAATAACGTTCTGCGTCTTGCCAGCGAAGTATGAATATTATTTTTTAATCAAAATGGCTGTAATTAGGAAACGTATTTATACGTGGTAGAGCCATGCTGCAGTTATATTTGTAGTATAGTTGTAGCATAGTTTGTAGTATAGTTGTTGTTTAGTTTACCACCGGCGATTTTTCCGGACCGATACGACTTAGGAACCTTCAAGAAAAGAGCATACTCCTTTGTAAAGGGCCGGCAACGCACCTGCAATTCTCCTGGTGTTGCGGTTGATCATGTGCGGCGGTAGTCCCTTAACATCAGGTGAGCCGCATGCTGGTTTGCCCCCTCTTCTATAAAAAAAAGCACGAATAGGTCACCTCGACCAGGGAAGGACAACGCTCTCACAGAATATCAGCGTTAAAAAGTAGCTTAATGCTGCTGGGTTTCGTATGGTGAGTGTAGAGAACCGGAGATCCTTTTTACTGGAAATGAGGCATTACATCTTAGTCCTCACGGGTGACAACGCATCTGCATTTTGATTCGTAATCGAGGATAGATGTATATGTCATTGGGCCACAGCAACCACTTACCATCAGGTGGACTGTGTGCTCGTTCGGCACCCTATCTTATATAAAAAAATAAGAGTTTTCTCTAAAAAAGGCCAATAACGTAGATTTAACGCAGGAAAATTAGGTGTTTGCTAGAAACTTAAATAATGATGCCTCTCTTACCCAGATAGAATTTTAGTCATGGCGACTAGTCGTAATAGAAACTAACCATTTGCATGAAACAAGTGTATATGGCACGAGGGTGTGGGTAAGCACAGATAAACTTTTTACCCCCTCACGCCTATAGTCCGGTGGGACGGAAATACAATGCCAACTGAGAAAGATCAAGCGTAGGAACAAAGGATCTACGTGATTTCTTTTAGGTTGACTACGACGGGCTGTTACTGCGTACGTTTTGACAGAAAAACTTTCGCACCGACTCAGGATTGGACGAAATAATCAGCAGTCACGCTGATGATCACCGGAGAGTGTCTCCCAACAAAGTATGTATGGACAATCCAAACTTTTTATTTTTAAATATGGTAAAAACTACCTTGACTTTTATCCGGTTAGTAAATTAAAAATTATTTCCTTGAAAGGATATAGGCAAGGTAATTTTTGACATGTTGAATATAATGAATTTTGGTAAAGTAACACCTGATTCTATTATTTAATATTTATTTTTAGTCACTGCATACTGTGAAAAATGTAGCGTGGACAAACGGTCTTTGTTTAATGTAAGCGACAGTAGCCTAATGGCAGGGCGCGGACCGCGAACTCAAAAAGGTCGTGGGTTCGAATCCACCATTCGACTACTGGCGTGAACCACTCGTAACACAAGCAATTTAAGCTTACCACGAGTGATTAAGGGGAATATTAGTAATGTTTATAACATTGTTAATATTCTTTTAAAAAAATATCTTCCTACTTGTAAAAGTACGTAATTTAAGTATCTTGTTATAAGAATGCTACAAAAATACCCTAAAAATCGTATTTAATATCGCTAAAATTGTTACAAAAACGTATTATTTTAAATCTTCTAAATATGTAGGACAAAATAATAACATTACAGATATAATAGATTGACTGAAAATATTAATATCCGATACAAAATGTAGGTACATTGAGTGTAAATAAAGGTTTTAGTCAAACACAAATTATACGAGTTGACGGCTTCTCGATTAAAGAGGCACCTTTCAGCTTTAATTGCCTGCCTCAGCACTGGTAGTATTACAGATAAAAGCTTTAGACAATTTGTAAATTAATGTTGTACTTACCGTCAGATGTACTGTCAGCTTGTCACCTTTATTCTTTAAAATAATGCAAGTAAATAAGAAGAATATTTTTTTAAATAATTGATAGTTTTTGATTAATTTAACATGACGCCACATTAGATCTTTTCCAGACAAAGCCTGGGCGGGTTGCTAATTACATAAATAATATATAATAAACAATAAAAATATCGCGGACGGACATGGAAGATAGGTTGGCTTTAGGTCTTGCAGATAAAAAATTGACCTTTGTAAAAGTTTTTTTAGTTTTTGAGATATCGTCAATTATTTTATTTTTTCAAAAATTTCTTCTATATGTTAGTGTTTCTACCGTTATCGTTAAATATACCTTGAAGGTTGTTGGCTTTAATATTTTTTTTTATTTTTCGAATAGTTGTTTCATGCGTTGAAAGTAAATTTGCCCCATAAATCTTGTGTATTTTTTAAGAAAAAAAAATGGTTTGTGTTACTTTTTTACCTTTGAAAAAATGGCACTTCCAAATTTTATGACCTATCATTAAAAAAAAAAAATGTACTGATGTAAACTCGCAAATATTTAATAAACAAAATTTTTAGTTGTTGAATAAAACTAAATTTACGGATTTTATCGCGTTTATTTCCATATTCGGGTGCTGTAAAGCACCCGAAACGTCGGGAATTGAAAATAAGTAAAAGTAATGAAATAATAAACAACATATATTAATTTAACAAAATATAAAATTATTTAATATTATTTACTTGATTTGATAATTAATTTATTATGCCACAGTGTCAGAAAAAATATAAGTAAGTATTATTATATCAAATAAGATTATTTTTATGGTTCAATGTCATATATTAATTATTATACTTACGTCAATAATTATATAATGTTACATATCCAATTGTCATTAAGTCAATTGTCATTAAGCAGTGACGCGAGCGCCGCGCCTCGGATCGGTCGTGTGCAGTGTATCTTGTGTACGGCGGCGGTGCTAGTTTTGGAATAAAAATGACATTATCGTGCAACAACTGTAGAATCGTCATATGTGAATTATTATCTTATGTACAGAACAAACTGTCTGTAGCGGATGAAGACAGTATTGTGAGAATATGTGCTGCGACGTTTTCGTCTGAGGAGATCGAGCAGGCGAATAAATTGCTCGTGGATTCCCTACCGCAGGATCTGCGTAAAACTAAGAGGAAGGGAAAAGGCAAGGAAAACCGTATTTTAAACGATATAATCAGCATTTTTAAGGGCACCGATCCTGATGTTTTGCCAGTGTTCGTAGCAAGAGATTTAGATAAGTTACCTCCGATTACCTTCGATCATGTTGACGTCTCAAAATTACTTAAAGACCTAGCGGTTATGCAGGCTGAGATAAAACACATTAAGTCATCATACGCAACTATCGAACAGCTAGAAAAAGTGAAAACGGAATGCCAAAATCTCAGGAATGCATCGCCGCCCTTCTCAGCTGCAAAGGTAAACATGAGAAGAGGCGCTTATCGAGAAAGTGGGCCCATAGCATTGTCTCAACTTGATAATACGATCATGACAAATCAGAGCGAGCAGTTCAATGTTGAAGCATCATCTCCGAGAGATCTTAATTTAAACTATAGAAACATAAATTATATGGAGGGTAGTGCATTTGGAAGTTACAAAGCACATCCCTCGAGCGGGATAGGCGCACGCAGCGCGGTACAGGGTAGCGGTGCTGGCGCGGGCGGTGAGAGTGATGAGTCACCGCAAACGGCGAACGCACCGAGCGCTCCGAGCGCGCAGCCAAGCCGGACAGCGGGGCCAGATGCGGGGCCAGCCCGTGTGTTATCGTTCGCCGAGGTGACTAAAACAGAAGGTGAGTGGAATATTGTGCAGCGTCGGAAACCTAAAACGAGGTCATATCGTTATTTGGGCGCCGCGGGTGTTTCCAATGACCAGAATTGTAATTTTAAAGCAGCGGACAGAAAAGTGCCAATTTTTATTACTATGGTGCATAAGGAGACGACGGAGACGGATATTGTGGAATATGTTTACAATAAGACGCAAGAAAATATTAAACTGGAAAAGATATCTTTTTTGAGAGGTAACAAGGACTATAACGCGTTCAAATTTTTTGTACCTGAGCGGAAAATAAAAATATTTTTAGATGCAACACTTTGGCCGGAGGGCGTTATATTCAGGCGATTCGTTAACTTCAGGCGAAATAATAGCAGTGGCACGAACGGTGTAGTAATGAATACCGTGAACGGCCCTATCCCTGCTGTAAATGGATAAAATTCTCAACTGTAAGTTAGTTAGCTTCAACTGTAAAAGTATAAAACGCTCAGTTGACGATGTGAGATTTTTTGTGTCAGTCGGCGAGTGTGATAGCACTTCAAGAAACTTGGTTATTTGGACACGATATTCAATTTCTTAGCGGGATTGATGAGCGTTTCGGCAGCACGGGCACGTCTGCAATGGATTCGGCGGCAGGTATGGTTTCCGGTCGACCTTATGGGGGTGTTGGGCTGCTTTGGGACAAAAGTCTTTTCCAAAATGTGTTGGTCGTGTGTTGTGATAATCCACGAATATGTGGCATACAAATAGTGCTGGGTGATAGGTCCATCTTAGTGTTTAGTGTATACATGCCTACAGATAAAATGGTAAACCTTACGGAAATTACGGATTGTCTCAGTTCGGTGAATGCTATAATTAATAGTAGTAATGTAGAATGTGTATACATCCTTGGCGACTTTAACGCACATCCGAATGAGCGGTTTTATGACGAGTTGATGTGTTTTTGTGACGAACAAGAGTGGTCATGTGTAGATGTACAGCGGTTAGGTATAAGGTCGGGCACACACACTTTTGTAAGTGAGAGCCACGGGTCGAGAAGGTGGCTTGATCACTGTGTGGCGACGAAATCCGCTTTATCGTCTATTTTGAATGTTTATGTTAAGTATGATGTCTACTGGTCTGACCATTATCCTTTAGTAATAGAATGTAATTTGGATATTGTCAAACCAAAGTTGAATTTTGTATATAAAGTAACTAACGAAATTCTATGGGGAGATAGAAAACCGGAGGAGATCAGAATATATACGAAATTATGTCATGAAAAGTTAAGAGCTATCGATTTTCCCGAAGAATTTCGTTCTTGTAGTAATTGCGTTTGTAAGTGCATTGATCACAGATTACGTATCGATAAATTATATAGTAAAATTGTAAATTCTTTATCTGTGGCTGCCACTGAATCCTACACTGTAAGATCACGTTTTGGCAAGCGGCCTGTGGTTGGGTGGAACAGATATGTACGCGATGCCCACAGGGAGGCCAGGTCGAAGTTTTTAATGTGGGTTTGGTGGGGAAAACCAAAAAATGGTAGTGTCTATGAGGACATGCATAGGAGTCGCAATTTATTTAAGTCGCGCTTGAAGTGGTGTCAGAACCACAGCGATCAAATAAAAATGGACATTTTGGCTACTCAGCACGCGAAAAATGATTTTCGTAACTTTTGGAAATCGATCAATAATTTAAATAGTAAACCTGGCCTACCAGTGAGTGTCAATGGTATTAATGATCATGGTCTTATAGCGGATATGTTTAGAGAGAATTTTACAGTGACATCACCGTTGGAGCCATCACAGGACATAGAAAATGAGGATACGCGTGGCCGGGAGATTGGAATTCGATTTACAGCGAAGGATGTTAATAAAACAATAGCTTCTATGTCCCGTGGGAAGTCTCCTGGCCATGACGGACTTAGTATTGAGCACCTTAAACATGCAGGTCCTCACTTATCTAGATTACTTTCTATGTTTTATAACTTATGTATATCGCATTCATACTTGCCCGCGGCTCTGATAAGAACTGTGGTGGTGCCTATTGTAAAGAACAAGACTGGAGACATATCTGATAAGTCCAACTATAGGCCCATCTCACTTGCCACGGTCGTTGCAAAGGTGCTTGACAGTTTGCTTAGCGCCCAGCTTGATAGACATATATGCCTACACGACAATCAGTTTGGCTTCAGGCCGGGTTTGTCAACAGAGTCGGCTATATTATGTTTGAAGCAAACTGTGAAGTACTATTCGGTTAGACGAACGCCTATTTATGCCTGTTTTCTGGACCTTAGCAAGGCGTTCGACCTGGTAAATTACGATATCCTATGGCAGAAATTGAAAGATACTGGACTGCCGGAAGAAGTTACTAGGATCTTCAAATTTTGGTATCGAAACCAGGTCAATGTCGTGCGATGGTCCGAAACCTATTCGCAGCCATATGGGTTGGAGTGCGGGGTACGACAGGGGGGCTTGACTTCTCCTAAGCTCTTCAACCTTTATGTGAATGCGCTGATAGAGTTGCTTAGCACCACACATGTCGGTTGTCATATTGACGGAGTATGCCTCAACAACATCAGTTACGCAGATGACATGGTGTTGCTGAGTGCTTCTGTTTGTGGCTTGGCAAAACTGTTGAGCATATGTGAGAGCTACGCCCGCAGTCACGGATTGATTTATAATGTCAAGAAAAGCGAATGCATGGTCTTTCAAGCTAAAGGTAAAGCCTTGCCCTCGTATATACCACCCATTAAGTTATACGGTACCCCGTTAAGAAGGGTGTCGCAGTTTAAGTACTTGGGTCATATAGTATCCTTTGACCTGAAAGATGATGCTGACATAGAGAGAGAGCGCAGGGCATTGTCTGTTAGAGCGAACATGATCGCTCGCAGGTTCACTCGTTGTTCAGTTCCTTTTAAAGTAACGCTATTTAGAGCTTACTGCACTTCCTTTTACACGAGCAGTCTGTGGGTGGATTACACGCAGAAACAGTATAATGCCCTGCGTGTTCAATATAATAATGCATTCAGGGTGCTGTTGGGTCTGCCTCGTTATTGTAGTGCGTCGGGTATGTTCGCGGATGCGCGTGTGGATTGTTTCTACACCACCATGCGTAAACGATGCACATCCCTGGTGCGCAGGGTGCGGGCCAGTTCCAATAGTATCCTGAGGGCATTTTCTGACAGGTTTGATTGTCAGTACCTGAACCATTGTCATATGGTGCACGTGCTGACTAATCGGGCCTGTCTTAGATATAGTGTTGAAAATTAGGTAAATAGTTTTAAGTTTTACTAACATTAGTTTTAAGATTTGTATTGTTACTAACATTCTATGATCCTTGTGGTCGAAATAAACGACTTTTATTTATTATTTTATTAATATCTTTCTATTTTTACATCAAATTTATTAATTAATTAGATACATAAGTCAAATTTTATATAAAATAATATCAAAAACATTATTTTTTTAAATATCAGAATCTTGTAATTACGTAATTAATCCTATTCTAAAATTATCATTTATTATTACTCGTATGTAGGTCGTTGTCGTTTAAGAACTCTTCTACAGAATAATAACATTTACGGAGCAACAATGCCAAAACAGATTTCTTAAATGACAATAAACTTTTACGCTTTAAATTATCAGGTAATTTATTATAAATTCTAATCGACATTGCAGAAGCATTTCTTTTTGTAACTTTTAGACGATTTGCTGGCGCATATAACCTATTCTTGTATCTACCCTTACTTTCACTCACATCACACTTACGTTGAAATAAATGTGGATGCTTATGAACAAACATGCACATTTCAAATATGTATAATGAAGGCAAAGGCAGGATCTTTTTAGTTTTGAACAAAGGTTTGCAACTCACTAAAGGACCAACTAAATTTACGGATTTTATCGCGTTTATTTTTACAAAGAGCTTTTATGCAGCGTTTTTGTGCTTTAAATGCTTTATCCGAACCCACCGAATACCCCCAGAGTAGAACACCATATCGTAGTATGGATGAGATATATCCATGATATGCCATCAGTGCAGCTCTTTCTGATACAATATTTCTTAGTCTACGCAATGCAAAAACGAAACGATCTATTTTAGTACAAAGGCTTTCTATATGAGGCTTTCCACTACAAAATTTATCAAATATTATTCCTAGAAATGTCGTGGAAACGACTTCTTCAATTATCAAGTTGTTATATGTGAGTTTAATGTAATTTGAAATGCTTTTGAGGGTTTTATATTCAATAAATTTCGTCTTATTTATATTTATATCTAAATTATTTATATTCATCCACTGTATGACTGTTGTGATGTTGTGAATGTAGTCTCTCTTACATAGGTCAAACAAAAAGATCCATAAAAACCCGCGTGAAAGAACATATAGCTGACGTGAAGCACCGACGCTCCGGGAAGTCTGCAGTCTGCGAACATGTTCAAGATCGTCCCCACCATTACATTCGATTTGATAAGCCACAAATTCTTGCAAAAGAACACCGATTCCTACCAAAATTGATACGCGAGGCTATTGAAATTAAAAAACATCCAAATTTCAATAGAGAAGATGGATGGGTGCTGCCACCTGCTTGGGATCCTATAATTAACAAAATTAAACCCAAACCTAAGCATACCACTGCAAGACTTCATAATACTATAAGCTCGTTTTGCGTAAATCGGACCAAAAATTAATATTCAAAAACTGAAGGTAGCCGGACTATGACATTGGGACATCTCAGTCCCCCCCGTGAACATGGGTGCTGTAAAGCACCCGAAACGTCGGGAATTAAAAATAAGTAAAAGTAATGAAATAAACGCGATAAAATCCGTATATTTAGTTTTATTCAATGTGTAGCGTTCGCGTAAATTTAAGAAATCATTTTTAATTGTTATTATAGATCAGAATCTGAACTGGAAAACACATATCAATGAAGTTTGTATTAAAAGAAACAATCATTCATACGCGCACAACCGAATAAATAAAGTGACTGACACGAAAATTTGTTATAATTTATCGAGCTTATGCCAAGTATAAAC